AGTTCTTGATTTTTTGGAGGGCCAAGATCCTTTCACTTCTGATTGTTCTATCCTGGGCCTCTTCCTGGCCACTAGGGGGCCAGGAACAATCAGAAACGAGCACACTCAGAAATGAGCACGCTCAGACATGAGCGACGTGTACGATTTCTGGAAACGTTTCCGGTCGGGAGCTTTTCCTCAGCGTGTCGCCCCGCCCGTTCCGGCCCGCCGCGCCTCGGCCCGGCACGCGGGCCACTGCCCGGGCCCCGAGCGTCGACGGCCCGAGGCTCTTCCAGGCCTCCCGCCCCGTGCCGCGGAGCGACGCGCGGTCGGCTTGCAGGGGGTGGCGTGTCGCAGGGGCCGCCGCCGCGACGCGCCAGGCTAACGTTTCGGAGCCTAACTCTTGGCAAGGTGTGAGGCGAAGGGGCGCGGGGCAAGCGCGAAAAAATCAGCACTTCGAGAGCGCCCCGCCGTCCGTCCGTGTAGCCGTTGAAGCCTTCGAGCCTCGTGGCAGTGACCTGCGAGTCAGGATCTGTCGAGACATCCAGTCCGCCCTGGCGACACGTCGTGTGGTGCTACTAGCAATCGCACGTAGACGCACGTATAGCCATAGACATTAATGTTCGGTCGGGCCGAGGTGTAAGATCGAGGTCGGTTCGGTGAGGGTACCCTGATGCTTTTCGAGTCTGTTGGGTGGTCTTGTGCATCCTCGGGGAGGGCACCCTCGAATGTTCTTGGGTTTGGTCGGCGGAGGCTGTCATGTTCGTGAACGATGTTCTTCTGTCCTAGGTCCGGCTGTATGGGCGCTGGCTGGAAATTTCGGCCGATGAAGAAGATATCGGCGTCATCTCAACATACTGATACTATATGTGCGTCGCCCCCCCCCCCCCCAGGGGCGACGCGCGCACCGAGAAATCTTGTAGTATTATGCGTCGTGGCGGGCTCGTTCTGGCCACACCGCTCGAGAAACGATATACCACAATATGGGTATCCTGTATGTTCGGGTCGGACGCGCGCCTCCAAAGCAGACACATGGAGCGCTCCAAAAAGGGCGTTGACTTCGAGGATCGAAGGGGTTGTCATCCCTTCCGCGGTGGAAGGCGGCGGAAGGGCGGCGGAAGTTCGGCGGAAGTAAAACGAGGCCGCCTCCGCCAGCGGAAGCTGGCTGAAGCCGGCGGAAACTCGGCGGAAGGCGGTGGAATTAAGAGATGCGCCCCCAAGAGATGAACACGTTTTTGGGTTCAGGGTTTCCGAAATCCTCCGAATGTGGGCCAGTATGTGTGTTCAGTACACTGTCCTGTTCCGCGTGTTTGCACCCACGGTGTGTGTGTGTGTGTGTGTGTGTGTGTGTGTGTGTGTGAAATGTTAGTTCATTGTCATACACACATCGACAACACCCAATGTGTATTGGGAGCACCCAGGGGCCATAACGTTCCGAATGTATACGCCTACCACGTGTGTGAATGAATGATTCCTTCATTTCCCTGCGCCATGTGACAACATTCAATGTGTCTCAGAGCGTCGGGCCCCCCCACGACGATGCCGCCGACGACGACGACGATGATGATAATGATGATGATGATGATGATGATGATGATGATGATGATGATGGTGATGATGATGATGATTTTGACGACCACGACGACGACCACGACGACGTTGACGTGCGCTCTCGCCCGAACGCCAACCACTCCCTGTTTCTCGCCTCATCGCTGGCTAGTGTCTCGGTCTGGCCGACCGCTCTCCCTTAATCACGGAGAGGCCCCAGAGCGGTGCTTCCCCCCTTTCGGGATGGGGACGTGCTGGGGGAGACAACGCCACCCCCTTTGGGGGAGACATACTGCTGTCACTCCGAAACAATCCATTTTTGAAAAGGAACCTCCCGTTTGGGCTACTCGTGCTTGGGCCGCCTGATCCACCCCAACTCCTATCGGAAAGCCAATATGTTTTCGACCAGTTCTCTGGGTTCCGGTATTTTCTGCAAAATCATATTTTTTCTGTTGCGACACCGAGGTGGGAAGTGGAAAACATACGCAACTTGTCCCCGCATTGCAAACGAGGAGAGGCCCAATGAACTTGTATGGTATTTGCAATAGAAACCGGGGCCGATGTGACCACAGGCGCAACTACTCAACACGTGCACATTTTGTCTGAAAGTGCGATCGAGGACGGACCGAACTGATGTAGTCGGGGCATGCCCGCGCTCGAGACTGGGCAACTTGCAGAGATGCAGCGTGCCAGGTCGAACCAAGGGCGTTGCAAGAGTTTGCTGAAACCAGGGCCAAACTTTGCAAATTGCGAGGGTGTCTCAAGCGAAACCGGGCCCAAACTAGGCAAAGCCAGGCCATGTGTGAGAACGTCTCAGGCAAAACCGTGCCCAAACCAAGCCAAACCAGGTACATTGTGAGGACGTCTCAAGCGAAACCGGGCCCAAACCAGGCAAATTGTGAGGACGTCTGAGGCGAAACCGGGCCCAAACCAGGCCAAACCAGGCAAATTGTGAGGACGTCTCAGGCGAAACCAAGCCCAAACCAGGCCAAACCAAGCAAATTGTAAGGACCTCTCAGGCAAAACCGGGCCCAAACCAGGCCAAACCAGGGGCCCAACGAAGCAAATTCGGAGGATGTCTCAGGCGGTTTGCGCCGCCCACCCAAACCAATGCAGGCCAAACCAGGCCAAACCAGGGTCCAAACCAGGCAGATTTGGAGGACGTCCCACCCACTCTCCGTAGTACAATTCTAAGTAAAGGAGTGGATCACCCCAGGCCCCCCCCCCGGCGCGAGCCCGTTCAGAATTGTATGGGGGGTGCGTTTGGACCACATGTCCAGTGAAGCGGACGGGGTTGGGTGCGGAGGACTTCGTTTGTCTTCCGGTTGTTCTTCGGGCCTCGGTTTGGCGTCAGGAGTCATGATTCCGAGCCTGCAGTTTGTCTTTCTGCGTTCCGTGGCATGCTGCGTTCGGCGTCTCGGAGGAACGCGCCGATCTCGGCCAGGTCTGGGCCCCGGGATGGGGCCCGAGGCCCTCGTGCTCCCCGTGTTCGCACCTTGCAGCAGCGCCGACCTCGAATGGAGCCATGCACACACACCACACACACCACGCACCACACACCACACACCACACACCACACACCACACACCACACACCACACACCACACACCACACACCACACACCACACACCACACACCACACACCACACAACACACAACACACAACACACAACACACAACACACAACACACAACACACAACACACAACACACAACACGCAACACACAACACACAACACACAACACACAACACACAACACACAACACACAACACACAACACACAACACACAACACACAACACACAACACACAACACACAACACACAACACACAACACTACACACTACACACAACACACAACACACAACACACAACACACAACACACAACACACAACACACAACACACAACACACAACACACTACACACTACACGCTGCACACTGCACACTGCACACTGCACACTGCACACTGCGCACTGCGCACTGCACACTGCGCACTGCACACTGCACACTGCGCACTGCGCACTGCGCACTGCACACTGCACACTGCACACTGCACACTGCGCACTGCGCACTGCGCACTGCACACTACACACTACACACTACACACTACACATTACACACCGCACACTGCACAGTACACACTACACACTACACACCACACACTACACACTACACACTACACACTACACACTACACACTACACACTACACACTACACACCACACACTACACACTACACATTACACACCACACACCACACACTACACACTACACACTACACACTACACACTACACACTACACACTACACACTACACACTACACACTACACACTACACACTACACCCTACACCCTACACCCTACACCCTACACCCTACACACTACACACTACACAGTCCACACTCCGCACTCCACACTACACACTACACACTACCACACTACACACTAACACACTACAACCACATACACACTACACATCTACACATACACACCACACACCACACACCACACACCACACACCACACACCACACACCACACACCACACACCATCAACCACACACACACTCACCACACCACACACCACACAACCACACACCACACAGACCACACACCACACACCACACACCACACATTACGCAGAACCCACACACCACACACGCACACACCAACACGAACCACACACCACCACTACACACTACACACTAACACATTACACACTACACTACACCACACTACACACTACACACTACACACTACACACATACACACTACACACTACATACTACCACCACATACACTACTCACTACACACTACCACACCACACACTACCACTACACACTACACACAAACACAACTACACACTACACACTACACACAACACATACACACTACACACTACACACTACACACTACACACTACTCACTACACACTACACACTACACACTACACGCTACACACTACACACTGCACGCACGCACGCACGCACGCACGCACCTCTCTCTCTCTCCCTCTTTCTCTCCCTCCCTTGGCTATGTTCTTTACGTGCATACGCATATATATATACATATACATACATACATACATACATACATACATGTATATACATGTGTGTATGTCTGTGTGTCTGCCTGCCTGTCTGTATGTTGTTTGTATATGTATGTATGAACGTCTGTATGTATACATGTATGCATGCATGCCGATTTGCTTGTATATGTATACATATTTGCACAGAGGTATGTGTACATATCTGACTAGCTAGGCATACTCATTGATTTTTTTACTCGATGTGGGAGGGTGAATTGCCTACCCCGCTGTCGCTTCCCGGCAAGACCCAGGCATACCACCCGCCTCCTCGTCGGGCAGCCTGAGCGTTGCGGGCCAACCCACGGGTAGCTCGGTATCGTTCTGCTCCCGTGTGCAAGGGGGGCCTGTCAAAAGCGAGGTAGCACGAGGGCGCTCTGCCCCCGCAGGCACCGCAGGAGAGGACATGCAGCGGGAGGTGGAGCGGCTGCGCAGCGAGAACCGGCAGCAGGAGCAGGAGGGCCTCCAGCTGCAGGACCGTGGGCTGGCCTTGTGCGCTTTCCGAGGGGCTCCTTGAGGGCCCGCAGCCCTCTCTGGGCATGCCTGCGTCGTGAGAAAATTTGCGAGCGAAGAACGGTATAAAATAAACTTTCCGCCGTCGGGGACACCTGCCCCTGGGCGGCTGGAAAGTTTGTACCCCTACGGCGCCACCGTAAGGGTATAAACTTTCCAGCCGCCCTGGGGCAGGCGCCCCCGAAGGCGAAAAAGTTTATTTTATACCGTTCTTCGCTCGTTAGGAAAACCACGACGGGAGGCTCGTGGCCGTCTTCGCTTCCTTGAGGCCTTTGGGAGGACCTCCTCGTCGCCGAACGCAGCCCTGGAGAGGTCCGGGGAGAAACGGTGTCGGTACCTTTCAGTTTCCCCATTTTCCACGGCAGCGTGCCCAGACGTCGTCGCGTCGTGAAGCAAAGTCACGACGGGAGGTTTTTGGCCGTTTTGTGCCTCTGAGGCCCTGCGCTGGGCCCCAGGCATGCTCCCAGGATTGCTAAGTAACGACCCGGGGTGAAACGCCGTCCCTGAGGAAAAGGTCAGGAATTCCTGGGGCCCCGCATGGAAGAAATGAAGACATTGTATCTCTGGGCATGTGGCAGAAAGTAACAAGTACATTGCAGCTGGCACGAGAGCTGAGGATTACCCTGGCGTGGGAGGGGCACCCCTGTTCGGAGAGGGGCAAACGGCATCAACATAAACTTTCGCAGCTCCGCGCGCATCGCTTGGATCGGCGCTGGCCCCCCCCCCTGGCGGCGCCTCCGGCGTCCGGCGCTGCCCCTGGCGCGCTCCGCGCGACAGGGAGGGGATCCAGCGCCGATCCGAGATGTCCGCGCAGACCTCCGACAGTTTGTGCTTATGCAGTTTTTTGTTCCTGCGCTTCTGTTCTTTGTGGACGGGCCCTTTGCCTTGGAGCGCTCTTCGCTTGGGGTGTGCTTCCATGGGGCCCGGGCCCCTCATGTTCGTGATGCGCGCTGATGTGGTCATGCTTCGATTGTGATGGTGATGCAGTTGGGCATGTGTCTACAAGAAGAGAGAGTTGCGGCAACCGCAGGATCAAGGCAGGATAAACCGACCCAACCCGCATAAGGGGCGTTGATGAAACAGCCCTGGGCGTTAACTAGGCAGCCCTGCCCTGCTGGATTCTTCCCTTAGGTGCGTTTACTCAAGGGCTTCGCTTGTCGGGGTGTTCATTTCTGAGGGTGTTCTTCTGCCCTCGGCAGGAGGAGCTCAGGCGGTGCCAGTCGGAGGTGGACCGGCTCAATAGCGAGCTCGGCAAGGAGAAGCGCCTGCGCCACGAGCTGGGCGTGCAGCTGCACTTGCAGGCGCGCCAGGCATCCTCCACGTTTTGTTGTTGTTGCTTGCTCCGTGGTTGTTCAGACAGTGTTTGTGCGTATATGTGTGTGTGTGTGTGTGTGTGTGTGTTTCAGTTCACTTTGAGTTGAGTCTCCTCCCCACTTTCCTGGCATGACAGTCGTCTAGCACACCACCTACCGTTTGTAGTTTACCGTGTGCGACGTCTCGTGCACTGTGCCTCCCCGACAGTGATCGCAATTCGCGCTTCCATCTGCTGCTTGCGCCTGAGGACCGTCTGCGCCGCTGACTTCAAGCATATGTGTGTGTGTTTTTGTTGTTTTTGCTCTACTGCTATCTTTTGTTTGCTCGCTCTCCCTCTTCATCGCTCCCTCTCTCTCTCTCTCTTCCTCTCTCTTTCCCTCCCTCTCTCTCCCTCTCTCTCCCTCTCTCTCTCTCTCTCCCTCCCTCTCCCTCCCTCTCTCTCCCTTTCTCCCCCTCTCTCGAAGCCCCTCCCTTCTTTCCCCTCGATCCCTCCCGGTCCCCTGCCGCGCCCGGCCGCCGCGCCCAAGGGCAGCTCTTTGCCTAGCACGCCGGACCGGGACACGGTGGCGCTGGGCTGCCAAATTCAGATCGGGACGATCGAAGATGGTACGGAAAGAATAGCTACAAAGACCGACAGCAAGTCCTGTTCATTTTGAACCGGACTCGCTGTCCGCGCCGCCGCAGACGTTGTCCAGTAAAGACAGAAAGCCGCCTGCCCAACAGCGGCCGCTGTCGGTTTTGGACAACATTTGTTGCTGGACATTGCGCCACATTTTTCCGTACCCAATCCGGGCGTCCAAATCTGAGGCGACGAGGGGGGCGAATAGCCCAGGGGGTAGCAATACGCATTCGTCCGGGAGCCTGGCCGGAGGCATAGACCGTCGCCGCCCGTGGATACATGTACTGATCTACCCTGAGCTGTTCGCCCTCATCGCCGGCCCCGACAAACCCTGGGGAGGATGAGGGTCGTCGTCGTTGTCGTCGTCAACGACGTGGTCGTCGTTGCCAGCGTCGCTGGTGTCGTCGTCGTCGTCCTCCCCATCCTCCTCCTTCTCTTCCTCTTCCTCTCTGTCTTATTCCTTCTCCTCCTTTTTCTCCCCCTTTCTTTCTTCGTCTGCTTTTTCCTCCAACCATCCTGTTGTTCCTTGTTCTGAAGACACGTCGCCCCGCGTCTCCTCCCTCTCCTCTGATCCGTGGCTCTGCCCTTCGGATGTGCTCATTGTCTTCGGAAATCGTCATCGTCATCGTCATCGACGTCATTATCATCATCAGCAGCAGCATCATCATCATCGCCATCATCATCACCACCATTATCATCTCCATCACCATCACCATCACCATCACCATCACCATCATACTCATCATCATCATCATCATCATCATCATCATCATCATCATCATCATCATCATCATCATCATCATCATCAAAGGCCGCCGCGCGCTCAGGCCTTTGAAGGAGCAACGGCCTCCAACCACCGCCCTCTTGCCCTGCCCGAAAGGCAGGGGGCCTCATAGACGACACCCCGCGCACCGCCATGCCGCTGAGGTCGTGCTCCACAGCGCGGGCGCCGCGCACCTGCTGAGCACGCAGGACACGCTTGCTGACATGAACATAGACGAGCGCATGGCAAAGGTTCCTGACCACCAGCCACATGATGATGCCGATGCTGCAGCACGGGACCCACATGCCCCACTACGACGCGCACGAGTCCCACGCTACAGCCGCCACCCAGCCCCGACTCCAGCATTACCACCACCTCCGCACCCAGTTCGTGACGGACCACTGGACGCTGAACATCAATTTCAACATCATCACGCACATAGAGGGCCAGCACAACATGAAGGATTACACCACGCTGACCATGAATTGCCACCAGTGGAACAATTTCACGTTGACCCTGAATTGCCACCTGCACTTGAATTTCGACACGAACGGGACCCTGGTGACGAACGCCCTGATCATCAATTTCCAGTCCGACGACCCACCTACTTCTCTCCCGACGCCTCTCCGCCTGGCCTTCTTCCACCTTTCCCGACGCCCCCGGCCCCCATAGTGATTCCTGGAAACGGGGTGGCTCCGCCTCGTTTTTTTTTTTTTTTTTTTGCTCTTTTTCGTTCTTTTTTTTTTTTTCTTTTCGTTTGCTCGTTTCAGTTTTTGTTTTCCCCTATCTTTTTCTTTTTAGGCTTTTCTTTGTTCCTCCGCCTCGTTTCCATAGCGAGCCTGCCAGCCCATCCCCACGACGCCCCGACCCCGACGTACGCCCACATCACGCCACGACGAAGCCCATCACAATACTGGGATGGAACCCATTCTCGCTTAAGGGAGTTCCAGGGCGTCTCGACCACAGCTCCGACACATGCCGCGCCATTCAGATTATGCTGTACGTAGGCACCAAGATGCGCCAGTGCACCACCGACGCCCCGCACCACTTCGAGGACAGCCTCCACCACACATGGGTCCACTTCGGCTGGGGCCGCGGAGCCCACACGAAAAACTCAGCAGGCTGCAGCATCGCAGTATCCAAGCGCCACTTCCGCAAGATAGACATCGTCAAGGTATTGCGCCCCCTACAGCCCGACCTACGCGGCCGCGCAGGCGCCGTCGAGCTCCACCGCGGCCAGCTCCGTCTTCGACTCATTGCTGCGTACTTCCCACCACGGCCGAACGGAGCAGGTCAACACCAACACTGGAAAGCATGATGCCGACGACTATGGAGCTGGGTATTGCAGACACTTATCGACGCTCCCACTCGCGTCACGCCCATCCTGTTCACGGACCTCAACCAAGGACTAGGGCGACGATCGCGACAGCTCCACACCGACAACGCGATCGGCAGCTACCACGCGAGCGACGAGACCGAGTTCGGACGCTTTATACACGACCAGCTTCTGACTCACCAGCTGACGGCCATCAACGCGCACTCCGACGTCGGCAACACCTACTATGGGCCCAACAGATCCAGATCACGCATCGACTACTTCATCGGCTACGGCAATCTTATGGAGATGGTGAAGTACGTGATGTTGAACTGGGAGATCCACACCAAGCTACGTAGCCTACTACATGTTGCCGACCACGTCCCCATGATCATGCAGATCAAGATGCCTGTCAGCGGCGCCAACATCACGAACAACAACATTCGCTGGGACTTCGGCCTCCTCGCTGCCGGGCTCCAGACAGGCGCCCACCGCGCTTCTTTTCTCACCGGCGTCTCTGCCGAGATCGACAAATGCAAGGAGGTCCTCCGAGTTGTCAAGATGGATGAGTTTCCGACCCGCCACAACGCTCCCATCGCTCATATCATTCGCGAATGCGGCCGCAAGTATTACACAAAGGAAGGAGGACAACCACAATTATACCAACAAGCTCGACTTGAACGACTCCGCTTGCTTAAAGAACGCGCCGATTGCCGAGCCCGACGACTGCCCTTCAACCGTGCGACCCTACGCGGGATCCAACGACGCCAACGAGCACGCCAACGATGGATGGATCACTGGTGGAAAGTCAGCCTCGACCAGGACATCCGCGACGCGTGGGCCACTCGCGACCTCTCCCGAGTTGCATATTTCATGTGCATCCGAGCGGGGCGACGGACGGGGCCACGACGACGATCCCACCTTGCACTGCCATCCACGCGCCCCACTGCAGCCGAATACGCCGACGCCCTTACCCAACCAGCCGTCCAAGGGGGACTCACTGCCACGCCAGCTTACGTCAGTATGTATATCGACGACCCGACAGCTATTCCACGCCTACTGGCCCAACCGAAATACATTCAACCAGTGGGGGGGGGGGGGGGGGGGGGGGCGCATCGGCGCCCCTGAGCTCCGCGACATTGGGACGGCAGCCGAGGAGCTCGACCATCTGCAGAAACGACTGTGGAGGGAGAAACGGAGGCGCTACAACCCACCTTGGGCATGGCCCATCGAACTCACCATCATGCTCCTCGCCCCGCAGTCTTTAACGCGCCCTGGCGTTCAACGGGCGGGGTTGGGACATGCCGCTGCCGGCTATCACTACGCGGGCCCGCTCGCCGAGCGCGTCTACCAACCCAATCGACGGAAGCTCGTGATCGACTACGACGTCAGCTCCACCATCGTCCAGACTTTCGTCGCACTACTCGCCCATGTCCACCGATGTGGCTCTCTGCCCGCCCAGGCGTTCACCAGCCAGGCAGTCGCCATCTGCAAAAAAGGAAAACAGCCCCACTGGCAATGTGATTCAGGACATTCATTCATGCGTACGTCTACTTCATTGTTTCGGCCATTTTTGGCGATTGTATCTCAGGATAGGGCTCATTCAGTATGGAACCCAGTTCGATCCAACGCCGTGGGCGTATGGAGGCATTCATCCCCGCCGTCGCGAATCACTCATGCTCCTTGCTAAGCTTTTGATATGGAAGATGAGATCGGCCAGAATGTCTTTTCTTGCTGAGTCGTACGACATGCGGAGCGCATTCGCGACGGGCTCCCACGAGCGACTGGTCGCCGCCCACGCGCTTGGATGCGAAGATGAGCATTTCCACCCGCTCCTCGAGCAGAACCGACACGAGGCTGTAGTTTTTCTGCAGGCGTCTGATGCTAGCATAGCTCTTCGACCAGGGACAGGAGGGAGGATGGGCGACTCAAACGAGCCTGAACTTTTTATGATATTTTTTTTATTATTATTATCAATTGGTTATGCAGTGGTCTCAGGAGATGGCCCAGGTCCAGGGGAACCCGTTTCAGGTACACTGCCCTTTTACTGGTGAAGAGTTTGATGCGCATCTTGGAGCTTTCATTGACGATCTAGTTAAGATCCTCTTGGTGCCAGACGGCGCGGCCCTCCAGGCGCTGCAGATTGACGAGATCGACAACAGCACGCTCTCCCAGGCCCTCGAGGCTGGCGGCTACGCGCAGAACATCAGTAAGCAGGACACCCTGGTCTCA